TTATGAACCTGAAAGGGGGCATAACATGACTCCTTTAAAGACACACCTAGGACCCTGAGAAACTGGGACTGATGTTTGTCATTATTTTCTGACAAGCGCACAGCACAGTCATGTTAAATACCTGGCCTCTTTATGTCCCCGGGCAGGAGACAACACTGTATGTGACAGATACGACAGCAGCAATATGAATATTTCAACCACGTGCTGCTGGCACAACACATAAGCTCAGTGCCTCACCCTACTGCTGGGATCAAGTGTCAATCTGGCTGACAGACATGTAGATGGGTGCAGTGTGGAGCCGCCATGTGTGGACTGATGTATGTTAACATTTTTCAGGATGGTTTCAAGTTCAGCACTCATCATGATTTAATTACAAACAGTGCAATTGTTTTAAAAACTAGCACATAGGCAAAATATTCGTACTGCCTTGTTCAACAATCATGCTGGGGGAAAAAATCACAGAAGTGTACATGATTTCTCCGCTCATAGTAGCTCAACAGAAATTGCAAAGCCACCAGAACACATGCTGAGATTGGACGGCAGATGCAATCAGACATACGTTAACCTACACAATCTATTTATATTCATGTAAGTTCAACTCAAGTGCAAACTAACTAAAGTAGCTGGAAAATGACATTATTGACTGAGAACCAGAAAAAAAGTTTGCCAGTTTGAGTAAAAGAGAGCATAAAACTATTTATTTTCACAGCAAGTTCAAATTTTTGCAAACTAAAGATGCAAGTAAGTGTACTGGAATAAGAGTTGTGAGGTTTCTTGTATGATTTTGCTGTTAGAACATATATATTTTCACTATTATACAACCTAAATTCATCATGATGAGTCTTGGTATGCAACAAACTTTTCTACATACCTTAAATATTTACAAAAGAAGCCAAAGTTCTCCAAATTAAATGTTGTCTCCCTGACGCCTAGAAATGATTACATTAATATAAAACTATTGGGTGGATGGGAAACTGAACAAGAGTGCACTACAGACAGAAAGGTGGCTGCATCAGAGCCAAAGTAGCACATTTTAAAATAATTTTATATGATTGGTCATTTAAAAAATAACGATCCAGATAATCGGAAAAATGCTGAATATCAGATCCAATAATTGGTCTGACCTTAATTTTTAAGACTCTTAGATCAATTATTTATTTTGTCTATTAATCTCACAAAATAGTGAACAAGTCCCACGGTCAGCTTACAGTGATGTAAAGCAGAGAAAAGCAGCACACTGGTGAATTGATAAATCAATACATGACTTTAACCAATAACCCACTACCAAAATTGTTGCTTTCTAACCACTGACTGGCTGATACACTCAACAATCTTTTCAGCACTTTTTATTAGGTTAAGTCCTTAACCTTGACCTCTAACCTCAGCCACCCAGCCATCACGGGTCAATACATCAATGTAAATACACACAATCACTCAGCCTTAACCCAGAGCATGGTCATAGACTGACTGAGCTCACAATGCTGCTCCTTCTCTGGAGTGCAACCAGTATACTGTAACCTCGTGGAAGCAGCAGACTCTGCTGTTATGCTTTCCTCCTTGATTGTGCAAAATACATAAATTGTCTAAATTTTGCCATCAAAATCGCTGCTTATCCAAGTTGTCACTATATCGCGACCCACGTCTACAACAACGACCAAATGCTGTGTCATCATGCAGCCTGTGATCTGTGTGATGGGACTCATGCAGGGATTTATATAAGGCTTCACAGGCCACAGGGCAGACCTGCAGCAGTGATTTACATGAGGCCAAATGACCCCTGCAACACAAATTTAACAGCCATTAATTATTAACTCGGCCCTATGAGCTTGCTTGCTGCTGTTAGAGAAACTGCCATTGTCTGTATCCAAGATGCGGCCCACGCCCTCACTTTAAAAGCAATAAACTTAATAAAAAATTTACATTTCTTCCATCTGCTCTGTGCACATACAGAACACGCAGTTGGGCAGGCTACATATACTTTCATTAGTGACGTTCCCGCCACTGTAATGCCCAATTCAATTCAATTCAAATTCTGGCTGGTTTAATTGTTTCCTGGAGCGTTGGTTGGCATCATTAACATTGAATTAGGGCTGCAACTAAGGATCATTCTAAGTATGGATTATTCTGTTGATCATTTTCTCCAGTGCTATATTGTGATTATTTTGAAAGATATTGTGATTGCAATATGACTCACTATTAGTGGGAATAATCATTTTAGCATCACATATTTAATTTTCACTGAAATAACTTTTTGGGGTCTGTATCAAACACACAGAACAAGATTTTAGGGTCAGGACATGCTGCACTACAGTACTTTATTATAATGCTGTTTGTCACATTTTACCTTTATCAAACAAATTGCAGCTTCTGCCATTTGAATATTGAATTTGGCCCTAA